GGAGTCGGTGGACTGGCATGCGCAACAAGTGGCCGAGCCATCGGAGTCTGGCGCGTGAAATGACGGTGCTGAGCGGTTCAGTTTCTTTTCCTGTGCCGTAAACAAGGCGATGAACACGCTCGTTGCTCACGCGGTGTTCCCACCAGATGTGAGCTAAATTGCGAAGGCACAGGTGGTCGAAGCTAACTAGCCTCTTCAGGTCCGCTGATCAAAGAGGCCAGGTTTCACAACCGTTCAGTAGGGTCGAACGTACCGCCACATTGTACACTCTACCCTGCAGGGCGAGAGTGATGTTGCGCCCCCACCAGAGGTGGCGAAGACTAGCAAAAGCACTTCGAGCTTTTGATATTCGGTTCGTGATCTCATCTTCAATCCCACGGGCGCTGATACAACTTCCCAGGTAGTTGAATTTTTGAACGACTTCAAGGTGATACCCACCAACGGTCAGCGAAGGAGACGGACCAGACCAAACTTGGAGAAACGCTTTGCACTTCGATGGTGCAAAGCAAAGCCCAAAGTAACGGACAGCTAGTGCTTATCTGTCCAGTGCCGCTTGGCACGTCTGGAAGCTTTCACAGATAAGGGCAATGTCGTCTGCATACTCCAAGTCAAGAAGTCGTTCTCCTGGAAGCAGATCCGCACCTTCCAAGTCATGTTCTGTAAATGCGATTACCATGACTTCGTCAATAGCGAAGTTGAAGATGAAAGGTGACAAAGGGCATCCTTGTCCCACACTGCTGGAGATATTAAAGGGCGACGACAGCTTGCCGTAAGCCATCACTCCGCCCGTGCTACGCGCATTTAATGCTCAGATAATATATACATATTTCTCAGGTACACTTTTCCTGAGTAGACAGCCCCATAGTGCAAGTCTATCCACCGAATCGAAAGCGGCTTTGACATCAAGAAACACGACAACGGTGGGCCGCCAATATGTGTGACGGTGCTCCAACAACTGACGCAAGGTGAAGATGTGGTCAATGCAGCCACGACCTCGACGAAACCCGCCTTGCTCCTCACGAATCTGGCTTTCACCAGCACCAGTCAGTCTGTGAAGGATTATGGAGGCAAGTAATTTGGAAGCGATGAAGACCAGACTGATTATTCTATGGTTGAAGCATTCCGAACGCGAGCCTCCTTTGAAGATGGGAACAATAAAGGAGCGGCTCAAGTCGGTTGGGACAGTTTCCTGCTCCCACAGATTCACTAGTAATGCATGTAAATCATCAACAAGAGCAGAGCCCAAGAATTTGAAGAGGGCTAGATGAAGATCATCTGGTCCCGCGGGTTTGTTCAATTTCAAAAGTCCGATCTCATGTTTGACTTCTGAGCGAGAGGGCGGATCCAAAGGGACAGCCCACGGAGCAGAGCGATCAATTGCCGGTAAGGAATCGAACAATTCCGGGTGATTAAATTACTTTTCAAAATGCTCAGCCAAATGCTTCAAACGGTTTGACAAATTGTAGATAGACTGTCTGCTCTCATCACAAATTGTTTCACTAAGTAAACGCCATAGTACAGGTCGATCAACCGAGTGGAATGTGGTACGGATGTTCAGAAATGGAACGATGATAGGCCTCTGGTAAAGGTGGCGGTGTTCTAGGATTTGTCGGAGTGTGAATATTTTATCCACACACCCGCGGTCAGATCGGAAGCCAGCTTACGATTCACGAATGGGAGTTAGTCTACGGAGTAGAATAGATGCCAATAGCTTGAGGGCAAACGAGAAGACTAATCCCACGGTGATTGGTTAAAGAAGTGCGAGCACCCTTCCCAAAAATCAGGGCAATAACTAACTTGCCACAGGAAGACGGCAACTTCTGTTCATGCCAGATTTTGGAGAACAATGAGGTTAGTTGGTTGATGATAACTGCGCCTCCATACTTGAACAGCTTCGGAGGAAGTTCGTCGGAAATGGCAAGCTTGAATGGTTACAAGTGTCGAACCGCAAGACAAACTTCCGCTTCGCTGGATGGATCAAGAGTGCCGAACTATGGCGGGCAGCGGGGCTGGCAGGACATACAAGTGAACCAGGAGGACAAATTGAACTGGGAAGGAGATTGTTCGGTCTATCAATCAAAGCGTCTCTGTAGATTGGCAATCGGATAAAGATTGGGCATTTTGTGGTCAGTGGATCTAATGAGTTGGAAGGGCTTGCGAGTGTTGACAGAG